CCATAGTGGCTTACGTGAACCACGACGGCAAAGATGAACCGAAGATACCTTTGGCAAGAACGAGTGATACACCCCAGTTGGCGGAGGGTTTCCCATTTCTGACGCGCGGGCGACTTATACAGAGGACACCCTTACCGTGATGCCCCTTGGCAGTATGGTGGCAGATCGGGGGGGCACATCATGCTATGAGAGGTGCTCCCCCCGTTCGGCCCCGCCGGGCAAAGAATATCACTCGCGCTACACCGGCACTTGCAGCTCACCTCTACCGCGTGTTCACAGCGCTATGAACCCCCAATGATCCACTTGGGCGCAGAACGATTGACAAAAAATAAGTGGGTATACTACAATCTAACGCGTACAAAGTTTGAGAATTGAGAAGATGAGTGCAATTTAGAATGAGTGGCACTTACAAGGACCCACCCGCCCTGCCCACGAGCACACTTAACTTAGAACTAACGCACGCATAAAATTAGCTTAAAACTAACGCACGGACAAAATTAGCTTAAAACAAACGCACGCATCCCACGATGATCCCACGATGATCCCACGATGATCTATGTCTTCAATCTTCGTGTACCTATGCACATTTCGCACATTATTCATACTACAATAATATTAAGTATGAAAACTTCAGAACCCGAAAGAATGAGGAAAAATTGAAGAACATTAAAAAGTAAAATAAAAATTCGATCATGTCTGAAAATAAACGCTGGAAATAAAAGTTGAGCCTGAAAATAAAAACATTTACACATTTAAAAAATGTAATTGCGACTACAATTTCATTTAAATCACATAAATTAAAATTTCTAAAGACTCTACATGTGCCTCTTGTTCTAAACTTGCACTCGTATAAGGTAGAATTAAATGAAAGAAAAATGATGGAAATAAAAAGAAAGTTTGAAGAACTTTCTTTTATGTTTCAATCAATTTACAAGATGAACTATTGAATTAAAAGTAAAACTTGTCAAAAATTTTTAAAATGTAAAGAGTTGAAAAATTGTGAAAATGAGTGCAAGGTAGAACAAGAGGCACTAAAAAATGCGTAAGCTTTTCGCCACAGATTGCGACGAAAAACTTACGCCCGAGCCCACCCTTCCACCCACAAGCTCGGAGTCAACATGAAACTAATACACTCAATATTTTAACTTATCAAAAATTAAATTCTGAAACAGACAAAAATTTATTAGCACAGAAATTTGGAAGAGAGAACAACATGATAAATTAGCAAAAATTAAATTCTGAAACAGACAAAAATTACTGAAACAGAAATTTGAGAAGAGAGAATAATGTAGGAACTAACGAAAAATTAAATGCTGAAACAGATAAAATTTTATTAACATAGAAAATTAGGCAAAGAAGTGAAACATTCGGAATAAAATCGCGAAATAAAACCGTAGCTCTCAGCTCGGTATAGTT